AAGCAAATATTCAACTGCTAACCTTTTTTTTTTTATTTAATAAGATTTGGTGTAGTTTATAGTTTCTTATAACAATTAGAAGTAAGTTACAATTATAGAAAGAATATACAGCAGCAAAATAGCAACCTTTTTTTTTGGTTTTTAGAATTAAGCACTTCTAGTATTCAAGTTCTCTATTAAGTTATTATCAAATAATAAAAGCTAAAAGAACTATGAAAGCAAATATTCAACTGCTAACCTTTTTTTTTTTATTTAATAAGATTTGGTGTAGTTTATAGTTTCTTATAACAATTTGAGATAAGTACACAATTATAAAGGAATATATAGTAGCAAAATAGCAACTTTTTTTTTTTTTTAATTACTTTTCAGAATTGAGCATCTGGTATTCAAGTTTCCTATTATAATCTCAAGTTATTATCAAATTAAAAAAGCTAAAAGAACTATGAAAGCAAATATTTAACTACTACTATTTTTTCTTTATGAGATTTGAAGTTACTTTGTTGCATTGTAGTTATAGTTCCTTATCACAATTAGAGGTAAGTATATAATTATAAAAAGAATATATACAGCTAAATAGTAACCTTTTTTTTAGTTACTTTTTGAATTAAACACTTTTGGCATCCAAGTTTTCTATAATAAACTCAAGTTATTATCAAACTATGAAAGCTAAAGAACTACAAAAGCAAATATTCAACTATTAACCTTTTTGAAGACTACTTGTATAGTAATTCTCTATCAAATTTTTTTTTTAAAAAAAAAGAATTCAGTCTTATTTAAGTTACTCAAGTACTGAAATTATAAAAACTAAAAGAACTACAAAAATATGCTCTAACCTTTTTTTTAAGGATCTAATGATATTATAAATCACTATTTACAGTAAAAGCTAAAAGATACTAATTTTTTCTTTTATACCTAGAAACTTACTATATTTTAAAACTTTTATTTCAGTTGCTTTAAAAAAGGCAAAAAAAAAAGATTAATAAGTTTTAGTAGTTCTTTTAAAACATTATTATAGTTCAGTAGTTAGAACTATTAAAATTGCTAATCTTTTTAGATCATAAGTAATATTAATGATATACCTCATTTGACAATTGTTAAGTAGCTAATGATATATCTAGTTTGACAATATATTCATTATATAATGATCATTATGTATGATTATTAGTTGGTCATGTAATTTTTATCATTAGCTATTTCTAGCTTTAGCCATGATATTAATTATTAAATACTAATTAGTTTTTAAATTAGAAAATATTTTTATAGTGCTATAGCACTATAGTACTACTTTATATATAATCATAAGATCAAATATAACCTAAAATTAAAACAATTTATTTTATTTATTACTTTAAAGTCAGAGTTATAGTTAGGTTAGAGTTAGAGTTAAGGCAATAGTATAAAAAGGTTTTATACTAAAATTTAGCAAGAAATTTTTTATTTAGAATACTAAAGACAGTTTTATATACAAAATTTTAAGTTATTTTTTGTTTTTTTAAAAATTATATCAATTTTATGTTATATCTGATTTTTTATTTTAATTAGCTATATTGTCCTAGTGCTATGATACTATAGTGCTACAAATTAAATTTCTTTAAATTATTATAATGCAGAAAGTCTTAACTCACTGATATAATTGATGAACTTTAAAATCTATTAACTTTTTAAAAAATCAAAATTTTAAAATACTAAACTAGTAATTTGTTTTTCAAGACAAGCTCTACAAAATTACTAGTCAAATTTTAAAAATATAATTTTTATAAAGAGTTAATAGCTTTTAAATTTAGATTATTTTTATATTAAAAAATAAAAATTGAAATATATATAATTTTTAATATGAACCAATCAAAAACTTAGATTTTTATTATAAAAATTTTTTTGACCAATTAAAATTTAGTTTTAAAAAATAAAATTTTTCAAATTTTTTTTAATTTAGTTTGTATTATCTATTCTAGCAATCGGATTAGCTAATTTAGATTACATGGCATATATAAAATTGAAACATTAACTAGTTAAGACTTCCTGCACTATATTAGAAATCTTTAAATACAAAACTTATTTATTTAAAATATACTAATTGATTACTATTATAGTTAGTATATTTTTTTAAAAAAAGATTTATTTTATATAAACTTATTACTATAGTTACTTAAATAACTAATAAATTTGTTAAATAGAAATTAGCAACAATTAAATTATTATAATATAAATTTTACCCTTTATCTTTTTTTAAAATATTAATATATAAACAATAATTTAATAAAATTTTTCAAATTGCCAAAGATTTTTTGATATGCTTTAAAAGTTAAACATATGTGCTAATTTATCGAATTGTTAATAACTTTTGATCTATTGATTTATTTAAAATAATTTAGCTACCAAAATGTTTGTCTTAATAAGATAATTAAAATAAACCTAAAATCATCAAATCCAATCACTAAATCCTAATATTTTTCAAATTTTATACAATTTTAATCGGAATTTTACTATGCAACCAATCAACTTAGAAATGGGTTGCTTATATAAATTTATATAAGCAACCCATTTCTAAGTTAATTGTCTACATAGTAAAATTCCGATTAAAATTGCATAAAATTTGAAAAATATCAAGATCGAGTGATTGAATTTTGATGATTTTAGGCTCATTTTAATCATCTCATTAAGACAAACATTTTAGTAGCTAAATTATTTTAAATAAATCAATAGATCAAAAGTTATTAACAATTCCATAAATCAGTACATATGAGTTTTATTAAGAAAAAAAAATTAGATACGATTTGCAGTTAGTACCGCATAAAAGGTAAAAGATGTTATTGTTTTAATAAATCTAAGTTAAATGTTTTTTTTTTTTATACATGATCGGACAATTTGATTAGTAAACGATGAATAAGAAGAAGATCGCCTTCATTCAATGGCTATTTAACTTTTCTTTAAAAAAATATTGATATTGTAATTTAGATTTATACGAAAGTATAGATAACAATTTAATAGCATTTTTTAAATTTTTTCATGTAATTAAATTTTTTGTTGGTAATAAAAAATAGATTACAACACCAATGATAACTTAGTTTTTTAATTGAAACTAACTTTAAAACGATGAATCCAATATACATTTTTAGGATATTACCGCGAATTATAATTGTTTTTTTTGATTGAATGGTTAATCGATATTATGAAATAAAAACATAAGGACATATATGGTTAGTTATATTCACTTTGTCATGGGATTATGCAGATTAGGAGAAACAAAATTGATTATTTATTTAAAGTACTTTCTTTTTTTTTTTTTTTTTTTTTAGTGTAAATATACTTTACACCAATCAAAATTATTTAACAAAGCCATTCAAAATTTTTAATGGTGCTTCCATGAAAGTCGTTATTTGATTACTGCGTATCATGCGTGTAATCGATTTGTACTAATTTTTTTTTTATAAAGTGAGGAAATGATAGACAATGTCATTGTCTACATTAATTACATTTTTTTATATAGGCCAAACATATGAATTTAATATATTTAATCAAAATATTTTTCTCATATACTTTTATAATACATATATATTATGCATATTATCACCTATGTATACAATTAAAGAGATTATTACACCTGGTTTCTGGCACAGAATGATTGTTGTTATGTTAGTAAGTCAATATTCACATTGTGATTTGATCGAAGGTATGCAGAATTACTGAGATTATTTCAAGAATTAGTAGATCAAACTTTATATATATAAATTTTTATTTTATTTTTAATTTACGTATTAAACCTAAAAAAGGCACGGTAAAAAGATCAAGCGATAGAACCAACCCATAAAAATTATTAAAATTCAAGGATGATGAGTTAGGATGACCGAAGATGAAACTAATTTCGGAAATTATAAATGATTATTACCAGCTCTAGTTAAAATTCAATGCAGGAACCGTATTTAATAAACTATATACAGGTTTTTCAGTTTTATTGTTCCTTAATAATATTTCGACAAAAAAATATAATAAAATTTATATATATTATTTTAAATAATGTGCTCTTCAATGAAACGAGCAAATTTGATGAAAAAGTTTCGAGTGAGCAAATCATAATACACAATCCTTCACTTTCCCAATTAAGATATATCAGACTAACAGTAAATATTCAATTGGGTAGGATACGTGTTACAAAAAATCATAAATAAAGAGAGAAAACAGTATGCGAATTACTAGGATTACCTAAAAAGAACATAATCACAGCGTTTTAGTATGTTAACAAAAAAGCAGGAGTAACTGGTAATGCTTCCCGTGTAACTAATTTTTTATTAGTCTGCAAAAAGAAAAAAAAAACATATATATATTTGTTTTCGAAAAGAAAAAATTGCATTTTCGAAATTCTTTTTCAAGAAACGATTTAGTCAATCAATAAAACCAACTCACATTCTTTCATTGTTTTTTCTCCTTTTTTCCCCCCCTTGTTTCTTCCCATCCTATATCTTTCTTTAAAAAGATCCTTAACGCAAACAAGTCTTTTAATATATTTGATATTATTAGAAAAAAACAAATTTTAACACGATCATTTGCAGAAAAAGGCAGCTTTTATATTCCCGAAAAAAAACTTAAAATATAAGTTATACATAATAACATATATGTAAACAATAAACAATCTTTTTTTAGGCTGTCTTTTTTTTTTTTACAAAAAAAAAAGACTTTCATGAATTATTATTAGAGTTGAGGAAAAAAAAAAAAAAAAGTGATTTAATTTCTTTTTTTGAAAAAAAGATACTAAATTCATAAACGAAACTTTTTTTAATATAAACTTTAATATATCCAAAAAAAAATCAATAACGAAGGATATAACGAGTAAAAATAATATTAAAAAAAAAAACCAGTTTTTTATACAAGTTTATTTTGAAAAAGCTTACACAAAAGTTATCGATTTTACAAAGGAAGAAAACCTGTAGGTTAAACATTATATCCGATATAAAAACATGAATTCTGTAATTATGTCAGAAGTTGATAATGTTAAAATTTCCAATTCAACATCATTTTCAGCTTATAATAATACCTTAAATCCGATGTCACCTAAAAAAACTGGTAGTATTAAACGAAAACATTCACATAATAGAAGGAGTCTTATTAATAATTATCCAAGTGTAGGAGAATTACTTTGGGATAATGGAAAAATGTATAGTGATGTTAGATTATCATTTGAAGATCGTGAAGGTTTAGCGACTCGTGCAGGAATACCTTCAGAACTTCGATTACATTCTATAGTTTTGTTCCAATCACAATTCTTTAAAGAACAACTTTCACAAACTTCATCAAACATTTCATCATTACCAAAATCTAATATGAAAAAAGAAAAACAAATAATTGTTAAATTACCATATAAAGTTAACGAAGAAGATATGGTAAATTTTTATTGTACATTAAAATTAATGTATACAAAAAAATGGGACACAGAATTAGCAAATAATCTAGCAAAAGGAGTTGGATGTTTATCAGTTTGTTGGGAAATCGGATTTCATGAAGGAATTGAAGCTTGTTGGAAATGGTTGGTTAGAAAATGTAATCGAGATAGAAATAAGGAAATGTTAAAAAAATTAATTAATGCTTACCCTAGATTACATGAAAGATTTACACATCAAGTTGATAATGTAAATAATGAATCTATTTCGAATACATATTTACAAAGAGCTCCAAGTTTAACAAAGAGTTCTAGTAAAAAAGGACCTAATTTACCACAAAGATCAATGAGACGAGAAAGTCGACCCAGCAATGCACGTCGAAGAACAAAAACGATAGATGAACAAATATTATCAACACCTTTGTTAAAATCATATAGTAGTGATACATCAATTTCAACGACCAACTCAAAATATGATAATGAAAATACTACTCCACATCAATCCAG